ACAAGGGAATCCCCATAAGGTTAACAGCTGATCTTTCTGTTGAAAGATCAGCTGTTAACCTTATGGGGATTCCCTTGTATGTTATTTGTTGTTTTTCCCTTGCTGTTTTTAATATTTTTTCTTTGTATTTAATTTTTGATACCTTGATTAATATGTGTCTTGGTGTGTTTCTCCTTGGATTTATCCTGGATGGGACTCTCTGTGCTTCCTGGACTTGACTGACTATTTCCTTTCCCATATTAGGGAAGTTTTCAACTATAGTCTCTTCAAATATTTTCTCATCCCTTTCTTTTTCTCTCCTTCTGGGACCCCTATAATTCACATATTGGTGTGTTTAATGTTGTCCCAGATGTCACTGAGACTGTCCTCAATTCTTTTCATTCTTTTTTCTTTATTCTGCTCTGTTGTAGTTATTTCCACTATTTTATCTTCCAGGTCACTTATCCGTTCTTCTGCCTCAGTTATTCTGCTATTGATTCCTTCTAGAGAATTTTTAATTTCATTTATTGTGTTGTTCATCATTGCTTGTTTGCTCTTTAGTTCTTCTAGGTCCTTGTTAAGCGTTCATTTTCTCTATTCTATTTCCAAGATTTTGGCTCATCCTTACTATCATTACTCTGAATTCTTTTTCAGGTAAACTGCCCATTTCCTCTTAATTTGTTAGATCTGGTGGGTTTTTATCTTGCTCCTTCATCTGCTCTGTGTTTCTCTGTCTTCTCTTTTTGCTTAGCTTACTGTGTTCGGGGTCTCATTTTCACATGCTACAGGTTCGTAGTTCCCGTTGTTTTTGGTGTCTGCTCTCAGAGGATAAGGCTGGTTCAGTGGGTTTTGTAGGCTTCCTTGTGGAGGGGACTGGTGCATGTGTTCTGGTGGATGAGGCTGGATCTTGTCTTTCTAGTGGGCAAGACCTCGTCCAGTGGTGTGTTTTAGGCTGTCTGTGAACTTATTATGATTTTAGGCAGCCTCTCTGCTAATGGGTTGGGTTGTGTTCCTGTCTTGCTAGTTGTTTGGCATGGGATGTCCAGCACTGGAGCTTGCTGGTCATTGGGTGAAGCTGGGTCTTAGCATTGAGATGGAGATCTCTGGGAGAACTCTCACTGATTGACATTACAAGGGGCTTGGAGGTCTCTGGTGGAACAATGTCCTGAACTTGGCTTCCCCACCTCAGAGGCTCAGGCCTGACACCTGGCCAGAGTACCAAGACCCTGTCAGCCACACAGCCATGTACGTGGGGAGCTTCTTGCCTTTTGGGAAGTCTGATTTCTTCTGCCAGCGTTCAGTAGGTGTTCTGTAGGAGTTATTCCACATGTAGATGTATTTTTGATGTATTTGTGAGGAGGAAGGTGATCTCCACGTCATACTCCTCCACCATCTTGAAGGTCCTCTCCTTGCCTTTTCTTTTAATCCTCTGTTCCTCTTTTCCTATATTTCTTTGGGGGATGGTTAACTCATCAATTTTTAAAAATTATTCTCTCTTCTCATTGACTTTTTAGTTATTCCTCTTGGCATGACTTTATACTTTAGTGGTTATTATAGAGACTAAAACATGCATCTTTAGCATATCACATTCTATGTTTAAAAATTACTTCAAGAAAAATATAAGAATTCTATGACAATCTATTTCCAGTTTTTAGTCCCTACAATTTATGCTCTTGTTTACTATAACTTTACACATTAGAGAATATAAACTCCATTTTCTTTTGTTATTATTTTTCTTTAAAGAGCCCATGGTCTAAAGTGATTTTGTCATATATATGTACAAAAATTAGAAACATTTTTTAAAAGAGTGTTTTAATTTATTGACCTATTTGCATTTTATAGTGCTTTTCCATTCCTTCTTGCAGAACCAGATTTCTAGCTGATATTTTCCTACAGCATTTATAATGTCTTTTAACATTTCTTGTAAATCAACTCTGCTGAGGAAATTCTTTCACCTTTTGTCTAGATAAAGACATCTTTAGGACTTCCCTGGTGGTCCAGTGGTTAAGACTCTGTGCTTCCACTGCACGGGGCATGGATTGGATCCCTGGTCAGGGAAGTTCTGCATGCATGCCACACGGTGCAGCCAAAAAAAAAAAAAAAAAAAAGTCTTTATTTCACCTTCACTTTTGAAAGGTATTCTTACTGACTATGGAATTTTGAAATGACTTGATAATTTTTCCCTTTAAGCATTTTTAAAATGTCATTCTCTTGTTTCCTGTTCTTCATTTTTTTTTTTTTTTCTGATGAGAAGTCACCTGAAATTCTTATCGTTTCCTTATTCCCTTGTATGTATTGTATCTGTTTGAGAGCTTTCAAGCTTATCTTTGGTCCTTAACAGTTTTACTAGTACATATCTAGTTCTGTTTTTTTGTTTATCGTGCTTGGATTTCTCTGAGCTTCTCAGATATGTCATTTTTAGTTATGTTCAATGCATTATAGGCTTTAAATTCCTCCATGGTAAACTGCCCATGCTTTGTACTTAGTGTAAGGCCTGGAGCCAAAGGTCTCCTCCTGGTTCTTCTACTACACCTTCAGACTCCTGTGGACTCTACATGCCTGCAGCAGAGGGGGGTTCCCTCTTAGTGCTCCCAAGCCTCCCCAGCAGTACACTGCTTTTATCTGGGACTAGCACATGGCCTAATTCTCCAGCTTTACCGTCACATTTAGGCAGGCCCTATGTTCCTGAATTGGTGAGCGTTGATCTCAATGCTGCTGACTCTCTCCAGTGTTGGACTGTCACCCTCTGTTACTAGGTGCAAGACCCAGTGGGTGGGAAAGTTTCTATAGACAGGACCTGTATGCTCACACTCAGCTGTCCTGCCCTTATCTCTGTGGCAGACAAATGTTGTTTCTAATTCATGTAAAGTTGGAGGGTGGGAGTTGTTCTCTTGTTTCTGCTGATCCACCCTCAAACTGAGGCACTCCTTTTAGTTCATTAGTTTACCTTGCAACTTTGAGTATCTAATAGGCTCAAAAATTATGTTTCTGCAGGCTATCTGATTTGTTCTCATTGTTTAGGTGGGAAAAATGTTTCTTGTAATGTTCTATATCCTAGACAGAAGGGTTATATCCTTAACTCTTCTTTAGATTTGGTTCTCCCAGAAACAAACGTTAAGAAAAGGATTTGAGTTCAAGTAGTCTGGGAGGAGGTGATCCCAGGAACTCCAATAAAAGTAGTGGGAGGAGAGACAGGGAAAGAAGGAAGTCTACATAGTGTGTTAATGAGTAACTGTGATACAGTCCCACTGGGGACTTCTGGAGCACTGTATGGAAACAGCCTAAGTGAGCAAGCTGGGTCTTTATCCACCAACTCCCAAGTGTAATTGATTAGTTGTCCTGCCTATAAGCGGAGTCTACTGGAGATCAAAAAAGGCCGAGACTCGCAGGTGCAGCAGAAATTTTATACATGAAGGAATGCGAGAGGGCACAACAGTGTCTGTTAAAAACTCTCTCTGTGCCAGCTAGGACATTAATTACTTTATTCCTCAGTCATATTGATGTACTGAGAGGATGATTCATACCTGATGTATCTTTGTATTCTCCCAGCATGGAGAATAGTCAGAAGACAATCAATCACTATTTATTCAATGAGAAAATAACTTTTATAAAGTACCAATATGTAAAATTCTGGTTAGCTCTTCTTCATTTCCTGTCCTCCTCCCAAACCAACATCCTTACCCCCCACCTCAATCACCCAGGTAGTATAGTTTATTCTCTTAACTGCCAAAAAGGTTAAATTCACCAGAATGGTTAGACTCTTTTAAAAAATTACTGATTTTTCTAGCTAATTTAAATGTATTATAATTTAAAAGTATAATTTCCAAACCTGAACTTTATCTAACAGATATTTTGTATTACTTGCAGCCAACAATGATAAGGCATCCACCAACAGTTGTTTGCTACATTTGTGGTCGTGAATATGGAACAAAATCAATTTTCATCCATGAGCCACAATGTCTGAAAAAATGGCATAATGAAAACAACTTGTTGCCTAAAGAGCTAAGGAGACCAGAACCGAAAAAGCCAGAAGTCAGGACCATTACTGGTAAGTTTTTGGAAAAAAAGACTTGAGTGTATAAGGGAAGACTTTTCCCTCTAAACTTAAAAGAGTAGAGGTATTCTTTTATTACTTGTTCAAGTAACTGAAATCAGCAACATTTACTGTCTTGGCTATAGCCAAATAGAAAAAACAGTTCCAGAATACCTGACCAAAGTGTTGTCTTCAGATGCTGAGACATAAAGATACTATATCCTGGCAAACTGTACAAGGAGAGGGACTCACTGGTATTTGCTATATTTCCCAAAAGTTGCTTTCATATATTATCAAACACAAATCTTTAAAACTTTGTAGCTTAAAAAACCTTTGGGGACATCTGGAAACATGTTTTCAAATATGAATGTGTTTTAGTGTTCAAAGAGCGGGGGTACAAAAGTGAAATTCTTATAGGGTCTGCTAGTCAGGATACACAATTGAATAAATTTGTCCATGTGTGGAAAAAGGGAAGGTGGAGACTATGAGTGGGAGAGCACTGCCTTTTTTTTTTTTGCGGTACGCGGACCTCTCACTGTTGTGGCCTCTCCCGTTGCGGAGCACAGGCTCCGGACGCACAGGCTCAGCAGCCATGGCTCACGGGCCCAACCTCTCCGCAGCATGTGGCATCCTCCCAGACCGGGGCATGAACCCGTGTCCCCTGCATCGGCAGGCGGACTCTCAACCATTGCGCCACCAGGGAAGCCCAACACTGCCTTTCTAAAGGAGACAGCTGCTATCCAGTTCCAGCTGGTGTTACACTTAAGAAATTTAGCCTTAAATTTACTGTGATGTGTCTTTCAATAATACAAAAGAAACTGGAAATCTAGACTTCTATATGAAATGTCCAGATTTTAAAAATTTTGCAGTGAATACTTTGTAAAACACTGCACAGGTTGACACTGGAGCTTCACAAACTGCCATGTGTGGTCGCATTACAGAGCCTTATACTTACTCATTTAGGGTGAGAAAGAAGTAGTTCAGAGAGTGTGTTTGCCATACAAGCTCAGACTTGCTCATCATCTGCCATTGTCATTTTCTCAGTTGATCTCCTGATTCCCCTCAAAGGAAAACTATTCTTGGTTTTAAGAGAATCATTCAATTAATTGATTTTCTTTATGTAACCATAGGTATCTTGGAGGTCATTTAGTATCAGTTAGCCCAAAGTACTCTTGTGAGAGATGTGACCCAAAGAGACTTTTTTTTAACAACCCACAGAGTGGAATCTAGATTGCCATGATAAAGTTCTAAAGGCTGCTAGAACCCAACTATTCACAGTCCTTGCCTAAAGGAAGGCTCTGCATGAAAAAGGTGGGAAAAGAGCTCAAGATGAAAATATCCATCTACTGAAATTAGAACATTTGCTCACAAAGAAATTGTTCACCTCTTTGAGACTGTCTTCCCATCAGTTCTCATTTGGTGTCAAAAATCTATTTCCTTCACTTCTGATCTTTATCACTTTCTCTGCTTGAGCATGCTTATCACAATTCTAGAAGAGGTGAGAGAAATGACTGGTTTGGAAACCCTGGAGTGTTCGCCATTCTGTTATTGGCTACAGATGGAAAAGGCAGGTCCTATAATTGCACTTTCTGCAATTGTTCTCTTGGCTCCATGCTTTTGTTATTTCCGAGGTTGCCCTTCCTCTCTAGGCAAAGAGAATTCGCATGAACATTTCCATCCCGTGGACTTACTGTAGTCATAGGATTCAAATAGCCCTTCCTCCAGATCCAAAGTACAAGCCCTAAAACTTTTAGAAATGTGATGAATCATCTTCAACTGAGAATCAGTGAATACTCTGGAATTTTTGAGTCCATATTAAAACTCATATGAGTAAGGAGAAAGTCAGTGCCATTCCTTTTTAAACTGCTTTTAAAGCACTCAAAATATACATTCAGGGCTTCCCTGGTGGCGCAGTGGTTGAGAGTCTGCCTGCCGATGCAGGGGACACGGGTTCATGCCCCGGTCCGGGAAGATCCCACATGCCGCGAAGCAGCTGGGCCTGTGAGCCATGGCCGTTGAGCCTGCGTGTCCGGAGCCTGTGCTCTGCAATGGGAGAGGCCACGACAGTGAGAGGCCCGCGTACCGCAAAAAAAAAAACAAAAAATATATATATATATATATATATATATATATATATATATATACATTCATATCCTGCATGGAAAGTGACACTTCCTTTATCCAAGGGAGAAATACTAGGTTGTCCTGTTGTGCTGGAGTTTAATTTCCCACGGAGAAAAAAATAAAAGAAAATGAACATGAGTAAGCTTGTTAAAGAATCTAAGGTTTGCTATGTTTGTGTGAACCACTAGACAGAAGTCATATGGGTATTGCCTGGGCTTTAATGAAGAAATATATGCTGTGAAAATAATTTTTTTAAAACTATGTGATATATTTTTGCATGCCTGACTACATTTTGGGGGGCCTATTTTGGGCAATTCTAAGACATAGTCAATTTAATGTACTAAAGCCATTCTATTTAAATAAGGTTTATTAAAGTTAAATCCCACACTGTTTCTCTAAAATAAACCCATATGCCTTTTTTCCTGTACTCTGCCAATGGAGATTATATATCTCTCAGCTGCCTTTGTTGTTTCCTTAAGGACGCTTTTTTTTCATCAGATGAACTATTCTGTTTGCATTCTTCACTTTAATTACTTAAAGAATCTCTGAGTTTACGGCCATAAAGAGATGATAAAGTTTTAGGATATAATTCATCTTAAATTCACTCTCAACTGTCAGTTATGTCCTCTAAAAACATTCCACTGAAGGATTACAGGAGAAGAAAATTCAAATAAATGTTCTTTTCCTTTTGTAAGCTTATATTTAGAGTCAACTGAAAGAAAGCCAAAAGTTATATTTGCAAGATAATAATGTGTAAGCAAAGATGTTAATAATTAGTGAAGAATGCATATCACAACACATAAAACAATGTCTTCCCCTTTATAAAATCTGAAGACTGAAAAACCTCTAGTTCAGAGCTAACGGTTCTCAACCCTTAAAAGACCGAGCAGCACTTTTTTTTTTTTGGCAAAAGTAATACGATTTGTTTAAAAGCCTCAGTCAACAGGTATTTCCTGAAAATACTTTCCATAAAAAGTAGAGCATGGTTCTCCAGAATGAAAACTGATCCATTTTCCCATTTTCTTTTTCTTTTATTTTTTGTTCTTCTCTTTTTTTCTCCTCTGTTTTTCTTTAACTTTTCAGCCAAGGGTTTCTATGATCTTGATGCCTTAAACGAAGCTGCTTGGACAAGTGCCCAGAGCCAGTTGGTTCCCTGTAATATTTGTGGGCGTACCTTCCTGCCAGACAGACTGATTGTTCACCAACGATCCTGTAAACCAAAAGTCGCCAAGTAAAGCTCTTTCCCCCTACGAAATAGTTGCAGGAATTAAATCCTTTGGAAAGAGCTGGGATATGACGGGGAGGAGGAAAAGGAGGGGAGGAGAGGAAACAAGGAAAAGTGGAATTGACCAAAGGCCATCGAGCACAAGACGCCCAGCTCAGTGCTTTGGGGGCCTGGTGTGACCACTGTGTCACTGCTTTTAGCGTGCAGCTGCCTGTGTGTGTGCCTTGGCATGCCAGGGCCTCGCATGTCACACGGTTGTCAGGCAGAATTACACGTGGCCGCCCCTCATCAGAGCTGGCATTTTTATCTCCAGGAAATTTCAGAGCCAGTTGTTGCTGTTTTTCTTCTGGTCTGATTTCCTGAACAAGATTCTGAACCTCACACTTAGGACTATTATTCAGTGAACAGAGACTTTGGGTGGTGACTTCAGGCAACTCTTTAGTTCCCGAGAAAAACTGGATTCCCTCCCATCCCTGTGCTTTCTGAAATAATGTGCCACTCCCTGCTATTTCTGATCCAGGGAAATGTTTTTAATTGAGTTAGTGACCAGGAATCTTCTTTTCTCTATAAAATTGTTCAACAGGAGACACATACAAAAGAAGAGCTAAGGACTTAAAGTACTAGAAGCACACAGAACTCATGCTCCCTTACTAATAGTGAAAAATGCTACAAGGAAAATTCAGCATCAGTGCCTGCCTCATATGTTGGGAGATTGCTGTGATGTGATTCATCACATGGGTGGAAGCAACCTCCCTCCTCCTATAGAAGAGGTCCAGCAAGAGTTCTCTCTGCCCTCCTAGGGGCTTATAGGTGTTTTATTGTGGAGATCTAAAAGCCTGCCTGGAAGTCCTGTGCCTCCCAAACCAAGGGCCACACACAGTACATGGGTTGTGAAGCTGCTCTGGATTTGAGTCCTTGAATGTGTATTCAGAGAGGCGGGACTCCTGGGAGGAGGCCAGGGCCAGGGAGGTGCTCTGCCCGGGAAATTCTGCTCCCCCGGGGCAGTGCTGCTTTGCCTGGACTCCCAGCGGTTTTGCTTGAGATCTTTGCTCATTTTATGGCTGACTTTCAGCGCCATTTTGGATCCACCAGGTAGGTTCCTGCAAACCTTGCATTCATGACCTTACACAGCACAGTTAAGTCCAAATTATACAAGCAAATTTATTTGACCTAATAATTTGGTCATAATCTACAGGTTATAAAAGTTTAGTTTAGGATAACGGTGCTAATTATTTGGGTTTTCCTGCCTGTTCCAAAGGAAGCAAGAGATGAACTTCTTAAAAAGTCTTTTAGATATCCCCAAATAAGATTAGCATCTTGTAAAGGATAGCCTTTAATGACTCATACCTGATGGTTTGTTCTTTTCTTTTGTTAAAAAAAATGACAACAGCATCTAATGTGTAGTGAGTGTACTGTGGGTCAGGCACTATGCCTAGTGCTTCCTATATATCAGTTTATATAAATCTCACATCAACCCTACAAGTAGATAGTATACTTATTTTATACATGAGGAAACTAATACTTAGACTAAAGTAGCAAATTCAAGGTCACACTGGACTTGGGTTAAGGGTTGGAGTCAGGAAGCAAACTCAGGACTGTTGGACTTCCAAGCCCATAATCTTATCCATTGCCATTTGTGTGCTAGATACCACCATTAATAAGATTAACTCCAACATAAATGATCTGGCAAATGTCAATTTTGTACAATGTTTAGTAACTAAGGCAAATGGGAATTTTAGCATGCTTGCAGTTTGGCTGCTGGTCTGGGTTTATCTTAAATAAACCGAGGTGAAAACAAAAGTTTGAACTGCATTGTGTGTTATTTATTTATTTATTTGCATTATGCGGGCCTCTCACTGTTGTGGCCTCTCCCGTTGTGGAGCACAGGCGTGGGACACACAGGCTCAGAGGCCATGGCTCACGGGCCCAGCCGCTCTGCGGCATGTGGGATCTTCCTGGACCGGGTCACGAACCCATGTCCCCTGCATCGGCAGGAGGACTCTCAACCACTGCGCCACCAGGGAAGCCCTGCGTTGTGTTTTAAAAGCCACTTCTGTATTCTGCTGATGTTCAGAAGCCAGACAGCAAGGGAAATAAAGCAAGAGTGCTGGCCTCAACTTTGAAATGAGTGGCCATTTAGGGTCATAAAGAGAGATTCGTGGGCCTTCGCTTTCAAAGCATGAGAAAAACAAGACAAAACTACTTTATCTGTAGGAATTATTAAATCTGAGTTCTTGAAGCGGTTGAAAAAGATGAGCTCTTGTAAGAACTGTGCTTCCACAGGGAACAGCTTGAGGAATGTCAAGGTGCCGACCGTGGGACTTCCACTTTTGGCTCCAGCTCCAGCTCGATCTGAGCCGGCCTGGAAACGTTACAGGGGATCAAATCTGAAGCAAGTTCAGTCACAATGACATCAATCCAAGGGCTCCCATCTTTCATCAAGGCAAGTCACTGAAGTCTCACCATTAATAGGACAGAGCTCACCTGCTCTCTGCCGACTGCCCTCCCCCCAATTTGTTCACACCTGTGCAGATTTTTTACTCTAAAAAGGAAAATGATTTTTTTAACAATGGTTGGCACATCCATGAGCTTTGAATCTGAATCTTGTAATGGTTCCCATAGATAGTCTCCTAGGTGATGAAGAGCAGATACTAGATGAAGGTACTTGGAGCTCTTACACTGGCTCAGGTAGGTATCGGCTTGGGATGCAATGTTATTAGAGGCATCGGCAACAATACAATTCCCTCTCTGCTCTGGCAACTGGCGCTGCACGATCTTTTATTGAATTCCCCTTTAGTTGAGGTTATGGGAAGAATTCCAGGATTTCTTGATGCTCATTTGCACATTAAATTCACATCAAAGTTGCGGGGCATGTCTTATCAGAAGGGAACCCTGGAGACAGAACAAGCCTGTCCTACTAAGGGATGTGGATGGGGAGACTCTCCTCTGGTGAGTAAGCATGGAGATCTGTTCGAGCTCCGTTGTGGGAGCTCCTCAGGTTGTGGGAGCTTCTCCTCATCTGGCAGCCTTGGATGTATTTCCAAGTAGGGTCCCAGTATTTCCAAGGATGGCTCCCAGATGACACTGCTTCAGCTTGGGGAATATTGGCCTGAGTCTCTTCACAGAAAAAGAAGCTTCTACTGACAAGCAGACCCATTTGTGAGCAGGGAAGAGAAAGAGGGCAGATATCCAAAGCCTTCCATCTCCTGAAAACCTGAAAACAGCCCTTGGTCTCTCTGTACTTCTGACATTAGCAGCATCTCTTCTTTACACCCTCATCTAAACCAACTCATATGGCTTTAATCCCATACCAGGTCAGGTCAGGATGTTCAGCCCTTTCCTTCCCCAACCCTGTGGGGACCTTTCCCTGCTCTGGCAATGGACAACCTTCCTTTATCATTTATTACTTCCCTCCTGACTCTCTGTCTGGTGCACATGAACGGCTGTGCCTGTTTCAGCTGGCCCTGCCCACTCTCTGTGAGCACTGTGGCCAGAGATGGAAATGAGGTTTTCCTGCACTTGGAAGAAACAGCACACATGAGAGGCAGTTGAGTTTCCGGCGGGGGCCAAACTGGATGGTGTAGAGAGAATTACACCAGGAAAAACACTGTTAATTTAGCATAGGATGGTACACTTTTGTGCTTAGTTCTTTTAAATTTTTGTTATAAAAATATTCAATAGATAACACCTGTAGAGTAAAGGATAATGAAGTCTTATGTCCTCCACACCCAGACAAACTTAGCTGAAACCCCACTAAGGTTGAATCTGAATGGTCTAAATTTCAACTACTATTCTTTTGGGTATAAGAGGATGAAGGATGTGGGGAGAGGTGCTGGGAGCACAAGATTGCAGAGTATATCTGATAATGCCTTTTATTTCTACTTCTGGAAACATGAGATTAAGCCAGCATGGATATAAACCAACTGCAAGTAAGAAAGTGAAACCTGGCCTAGGCATCATGGGGGCTAAGTCCTATCATTGATTCATATTGATCACCTATAGACCAATGTTTTCAGATAATACTTAATTGAGAGTGTGTTTGGCAAAATAATGTCCCCAAAGATGTTGATACCCTAGTTCTCCAAACTTACGAATATGTTACCTTGCACGTTATGCTACCTTTGCAGATTGTGGTTAAGGTTTTGGGTCTTGTAATGGGGAGAGTATCTCGGATTATCTCGGTGGGCCCAGTATAATCATGAGTCCTTAGTAGTGGAATAAGAAGAAAAAAGGGTGCTTGAGAGAGATGGCAGCATAAGAAGGATTCAACAGTCTGTTGCTTGCTCTGAGATGTAGGAAACTATGTGCAATGACCAGAGAAAAACCTCTCCGAGTTAAGGGCATCCCCAGCAGACAGCCAGCAAAGAAACTGGAACCTCAGTCCTATAACCACAGGAACTGGATTCTGCCAACAACCTGAATGAGCAAGGAAACAGATTCTCCCCTGGAACCTCCAGAAAGGAACACAGCCTGCCAACAACTTGTTTTTATCCCGTGAGTCCAGGGTTGAACTTCTGACCTACAAAACTGTAAGAAAATAAATGTGTGTTGTTTAACCCATTGTTTATAATAATTTGTTATGGCAGCATCAGGCAACAAATAGAAGAAGCATCCACAGGCAGACCTCAGAGATACTGTGAGCTCATTTCCAGATGACCTCAATAAAGTGAATATCACAATAAAGCAAATCACAGAAATTTTTTGGTTTCCTCATGCATAGAAAAGTTATGTTTACACTGTAGTCTATAAGTGGACAGTAGCATTATATCTAAAAAAGCAATACACATACCTTAATTTTAAAAATGCTTTATTGCTAAAAAATGCCAAAACAATTGCAATGGCAACATCAAAGGTCATTGAATGCAGATCACTATAACAAATATAATAATAATAAAAAAGTTTGAAATATTGAAAGAATTATCAAAATGTGACAGAGAGACATGAAATGAGCAAGTGGTGTTGGAAAAATGGTGCTGATAGATATACTTGATGCAGTGTTGCCACAAACTTTTGTCAAACAGAACAAAACAAAAACTCATCAAAGTACAGTAAAGCAAAGCACAATAAAATAAGGT